GGCCGCATGCACGGCCTGTGGGACCCCCCACGGCCTGCGGACCCGGAGGGCTCAGCCGCGGCTCAGAGCCCTTCGGCAGCGGCTCCCGAACCCCCTGTGCCCGAAGAACTCCGCGGGGGTGTCCTGGGCCCGGCCGAGCCCGTCCCGATCATCCCGGTCCACCCCGGCCCGTCCGGGCCGGGCCGGTACCGAGCGGCCCCTCAGAGCCCCCGCCCACCGCCGCCAGGGGGCGCCGCGCACGGGCGGGGCAGGGGCGGGGCCGCGCGGGGCGAGCGGCAGGCACAAGGACCAATCATAGAAGGGAACGGCGCGGGGGCGTGGCCACAGCCGTTTAAGCAATATAGGCGGGGCGGAGGGCGGAGCGCTCTCAGAGGGGCGGGACCTGGCATTGAGTGGCGTCCAGCTGCACCAATGAGCTTGGAGAGTGCCCGTGGCCCCTCCTGAGTGGCAGCGCAACTCACCAATGATAGTCAGGAGGCGGGGCGATGGGCGGGACCGGCGGGGCGCGGGAGGTGCCGGTGGGGGCGTGCCCCGCGGTGAGTGGCAGGTGGGCGGGCCAATGGCGCGGAGCCCGCGCAGCGGCGGCGCGGAGCGGGGCCGGGGCGGCGGCGGGGCCGGGGCCGCCATGGACCGCGTGAGCAGCACCATGAAGCAGGTGGCCAACCCGCTGCCCAAAGTGCTGAGCCGGCGGGCGGGCGGCGGCGGCGGCCTGGAGGCGGAGCGGGAGAGCTTCGAGCGCGCCCAGGTGCGGGCGGGGCGGGGGATGCGGACGGGCGGGGGGTGCGTGGTGAAGCTCCAGGGGGCGTGGCTGGAGAGGGGGCGTGGTCTGTGTTCAAGGGCGTGGCCTGACAGGTACCTTAAGTTTGCTCAAGGGGCGGGGCTTGGCCGAGTGGGCGGAGTTATCACAGGTGGGCGCGGCTTATCGGAGTGGGCGGAGCCAGCCCAGGTGAGCAGGGGGCGGGGCCAGCTTGGGTTACCTGCCAGGTAACCCAGGTGTTGGCACAACTGGGCATAGTTTTGGGAAGGGGGTGGAGCTTCTGTGAGTGGGCGTGTCCCTCCCAGGTGAGCTGGGTGGGCTCCGGTGGGCGTGGCTGCCTCAGGTGGCTGCAGATTGGCGGGGTGGGTGTGGCCGCCCGGCCCCGCCCATCAGGGGGGCAGTGGGTCACCATGGCGGGACAGCGACGGGAACTCTCGGGATGCTGTGGCTGAGCCCGGGGCAGCCTGGGGACATCGCGGGGATGGACCCCCAGCCCAGCAGAGGCTGCTCAGCCCAGAGTCCCCACCAGCGGTGCTGGGGACACTCACCCGCTGGCCTGGACACCGGGGTGGGGACGCTGAGCCCAGCCACAGCCGGGCATTGTGCCCAGGCCGGTGCCACCCTGTCCTTGGAGCCGCCCTGGGGACACACAGCCTCTGTGTCCGCTGGCTGTGGGGACGTGGAGTGGCTCTGTGACCAGTGGGATCTGCCACACCCCGCTGGGTCCTCCCAGAGAGCTCTGGTGCCACTCGGGGGCAGCGGACAGGGGCTGTCCCTGTGTGTGGCTCCCAGGAAGAGGAACCAATGTGTTGAAAAGCAGATGGAGTTTGCTCCTCAGCAGCATCCAGAGTGTCCAGATGGGGCCTTCCCACTCATCACCCAGGTTTTAGGTGTCCCACAGGGAGGGGAAGGTGGCAGCAGAGCTGGGGGGGCAGCAGGGGTGCTTTGGGGGGAAAAAGTGATGGGTTGGGGAAAGGACATGCTGGGAAGCCTGGACAAAGCTTGGGGAGGGTGGAGAGGGAGGGATGGCAGCAGGAGGAGACGGGGACACCTCAGCCCTGCTCCGTGTCCAGGGATGGAAAGTACTGGTGGGAGAGGAAGGGAAACTGAGGCAGGACCAGTGGGATCAGACCTGGATGAGCCCAGAGTGGGAACAGCACATGGGGGATGAAACTAAAGCCCAAGGATCGGCTCTGAGGGGGTTTTGCAGGAAGAAAACCCAGCAGGGTGTGAGGCTGGACAGGGATCACTCACAGGGCTCTGCTCAGGTTACCTCAGAAATCCATTATTTATCCAGAGTGCTGAAGTGGGACTGGTTTGCACATGGAGCCTTCCAGCTCCTTGGATCAGCCATGAGATGTCTGGAGTTCCCATGGGTTTCCCAAGAGCTGCTGCTCCCTGGGAAGGGCTGAACTGGGCCCCCACCACCTCTCCCCACATCCCCACGAGCTGAATTTCATCTTCCCCATCAGATTCCCAGACTAATCAGCGTGTCCCTGCCTGGCTTTTCCTTCTTCTCTGCTTCAGCTCCATGCAATTCCCTTTCTCGCTCCATTTTTTATCCCCCCCCCTTGTTTTTGGGTAATTCTCTCTTTCTCTCCAGTTTAGGGAACTTGCCAGGCACCCCTTAGGTCTTGGTCATCCAGCTTTTGTCCAACTTCTTCTTTCAGAGGTTTTTTTAGAGCAACTTTGTGGGTTTGGGTTTTTTTCTTTTCGAAAGTGACTTTTCCTAAGAAAAGTTTCAGCTGTTAAATGGCTTTAAAATGAAGATTTTTTACCCGTGTTTCTGCGTGTACAGACTCCTTCCCTCCTCCACTCCAAACCACAAAGCCTATTTTGGGCTAAAACAGCCCAAACAGGCAGAAACTGAGTCCAAGGGGACTTTTGGGGAGCCTGAGGAACACTTGCTTGGGTTGGGAACACCCGATTTATGGGGTGTGAGCACCCTACAAAGCTCGGGTGGTGGTGGGACACCCCAGTAGTGGTGAGGTGAGGTGTGGTGGTGAGAAGCTCTGGTGGTGGTGGGACACTGTGGTGGTTGGATGCTCTTATGGTGGTGGAATGTTCCGGTAGTGGGACACTCGTGTGGTGGTGGGAAGCTCTCGTGGTGTTGGGAAGCTCTGGTGGTGGCATGTTTCCAAGGAGGTTGTGGTGGTGGGATGCTCTTATGGCAGTGGGACATTGTGGTGGTGGAAACGCTTCCATGGTGGTGGGATGGTTCCATGGTGGTGGGATGCTCTTGTGGTGGTGGGAAGCTTCCAAGGTGGTGGGAAACTCTGGTGGTGAGGTGGTTCCATAGTGGTGGGAAGCTTCCATGGTGATGGGAAGCTCTGGTGATGGGATGTTCCCAAGGTGGTGGGATGTTCCCAAGGTGGTGAGATGCTTCCATGATGGTGGGATGGTTCCATGGTGCTGTGATGCTTCCATGGTGATGGGAAGCTCTGGTGGTGGTGGTAAGCTTCCGTGATGGTGGGATGCTTCTGTGGTGGTGGGAAGCTCTGGTGGTGGGATGTTCCCAAGGTGGAGGGATGTTCCCAAGGTGGTGAGACCTCCCAAGGTGGAGGGATGTTCCCAAGGTGGTGAGACCTCCCAAGGTGGAGGGATGTTCCCAAAGTGGTGAGACCTTCCGTGGTGGTGGGACTTTCCATGGTGGACGTCACGTTGCACGACGTCTCTGCCCTGACAACATCCATCTGTTGGGGACAAATGGGAATAAATTTCCTGGTGGCTTCTTTTCTTCTCCCCCAGCTGGTCAAGTGTCTCAGTTTTCCTGGGAATGCAAATGGGAGAACCCTGAGGACATGTCCCACCGTGGTGTCCCTGTGGTGCTGTCCTTGCTGCCTCCTGGGTGGGAGCAGCTCAGGGAGAGCTGTGGACACACTCAGGGGCTCCCCTTGTCCTTTCCCATCAATGCCGGCAGTTTTCATGGGAAGTTGAGCAACAGGGACACCAAATCCTGCAGTTCAGGGTCCAGCCCTGCCATGAGGGGACGAGTGTTGCAACAACTGTCCCCCTTTTTTCTGATGATTCACCACCACTCATCGCCCCAGCCATGATCCAGTAACTCTTTGGGCAGAGCAAAGGTCTCCGAGGGAGGAGAAAACCCACCAAAAGTGAAAATTCTGCCATATTTTAAGATAAATATTTTTATTTCCTGTGGTGTCTGATGTTTGCATCCCCTCCAAGTTCTCCTGGCTGGATTGAGGGGCATGTCCTGGTGTTGGAGCTCTGTAAGGAAGATCTTCCTTGTTTAGGTTGGGGCATTGGGATCTTCCCTCCTTGGCTGTCCCTCCTCTTTCCTCACTGCAGTTGCCCCCAGCAGACATCCTTGTGCCACGATGGTGCCAAGGAGAGGAATTCCTTCTGGGCTTGGCTGGTTGGCAAAGACCAGATGTTAGATGAGCCGAGGTCTTGAAGGTCAAAATGGAGTCAGAAGGATGAAGGACTTCAGCAGGACAGAGAGGATGCTCCCAGGCTGTGCTGCTCCTTCCCTCCTGTTTTGGGCTGCCATGGGATATTTCCCTTCATTCCCAGCTGGGACGTGGCCAGCAAGGCATCAGTGCAGGTGGAATTGCATATTCCCAAAGGTGCTGTGTGGCATTCCCAAGCACCAGCTGGCCCCTGGAAAGCTGGAGGGGTGGGAAGGTCTCCTTCCTGCCCAGCTCAGCTGTTCCTGCTCATCCCTTTCCCTCTTTGGTGAAACTGGAGAGAGGCCGAAGTGCTTGGACAGCGAAGATGAGGGAAGTGCCCTTGGAGTGCACTGAGCTCCAGTCCTTGTCCCCACCCCTGTGGCTTCGGGGTGGAAGGGAAGCAGCACGTTGTGGTGGTGTGTTGTCATCTCCTGGGCTGCAGAGCCACCAGCACAACTCTCCCTGTCTCCCCTGACCCAGGCGCTGCTCCAGTGCCCGGCCGTGCTCCATCAGGATCCATCTTGTCCCACACCACTGCAGTGCCCTGTCCAGAGGTCCCAGGGAGGAGGACATGACGTGCAGACAGTGCCTGGGGTTGTGGAAGGGGACAGAAATTCCATGTTTGTCCCCCAGAGCTCGTGGCTGCTGGGGCTTTGTGCCAGGAGATGTGGCTGCGTGCCCAGCACGTCCCTGTGCCACGGGGACAGTCCCAAGGGTGATCTGTCCTCATGGTGTGAGCTCTGGGAGAAGACACTTCTTTAAAATTCCTGCAGAAAATCTAAAAAACTTGCACTTCAGCCTCTTTGGCTGCTTCTGGGAAAGTCATGGAGAAGCAAAGGAAATCAGGGAACACTTGGGCTGCCACAGCCACCACCAGCTCTGGCACATTTTCACGCTGAGTCCTTAGGACTGTGTGCAGCAATAAAAGCCATTTATGACTCAGAAATGTCCCTGGAAAGACATATTTGCAGCAGAAGGTGATTGTTGTTCTGGCTGCATCCCCACTCCTGCCATCAGAGTCCCCGAGGTGGTGCTGGAGGTGTCAGATCCTCCAGCTCAGGAATTCCTGGTGGGAAGGTGTGACACGTTCCTGGCAGGGCACAGCTGGTGCTACATCTCCCCTCTGATGGTTTTTAAGGTCCTGGGTATTCGTGAGCAATCCCTCAGGGACTGCAAAGCTGTTTTCCATCCTGCTTTGCTGCTGGAGGAGCCCTCTCAAAAGTCAGGAACCGAGAGACGATGCAAAAGAAGGAGAAAAAGTATCAGGTGCAGGTGAAATGGATTTCTTTTTCCTGCCCTGATATTGGTTAATAAATCCTTTTCATGTGAGAACCAAACTTTCTCACAGCCAAGTGCAGGTTAAAATCAGCTTTGTGCCCATCCTGTCCCTGCCATGGGCTGTGCCATTTCCAGGCATCTTTGCAGGCCCACTAATGCAATTAATCCCTTTCTCCTGTCATTTATATCATTGGGAATATGGCCCTGTATGTCCCACCCACAGCAGCCCCGCTGGTTTCAGACCTGACCCAGCTCAGTCCAGCTCTCAGTCGTGGAGGAAATACCATTTTACTACTGAAA